TTAACAAGCTCAGCGACTAAGGCAGACGCAACAGAGGACTCAAACGAAGGGTCAGTGTCAGCAGTGGCTATGAGACGCGTAACAGTAGGACTGGCAGCACGAACCAGGTCAGACTCAGGGTTCGGAACATGCGGAAGAGAGGACGTAGGAGGAGATGGCAGAGGAACACGCTGTGGAACAGAGGAAGGACGAAGTGCCATAGTGTGCATGCCGGGGACAGGAGGAGGACGCCCACAAGGAACACGGCGACCAGTGTGTCCAGCGCGAACAGGCGAGGCAGGACGCGCAGGCTCACGACGCTCAGTAAGACCTCCTTTCTGCTCAGTGTAAGGAGAGGGAGCAGGCAGTGGGGAGCTTGGCTATAACGGGAGACCAGTAGAAGACGGGAGACTAAGAACCTGGCAAAGCACCAAGCCAGGCGGCGGTAGAGACGACGGTGACGGCGGAGCGAAGAACTGACGCGGCGGTGCAGCACCACCTATACCAGCTCCTCCAGCACCAGCACCTCCAGTACTAGTACCAGCAGCTCCATGGTCTCCAACAGCTCGAGAAACTCCAGCTTTAGCACCTCCAGCTCCCGCGCCTACAGCTCCAGGGCCTCGAGCTCTAGAGTCCGCAGCACCACCAGCTAAGGCCGCCCCAGTATCTCCAGCTCCCGCGCCTCCAGCCCTAGCAGCGCCACTCCGAAGGCGGCAGTGCTGAGTGTACCAAACGCGTAGCAGCTGCGGCCAGAGAGCACCTCCAGAACCTCCAGGACGAGCACCTCCAGGACTAGCAGTGCCAGCTCCACCAGCACCACCAGTACCGGCAGTACCACCAGCTCCAGCAGCTCCAGTACCTCCAGTACGAGCAACTCCAGGACCAGCAGCTCCAGCACCTCTAGTACCTCCAGTAGCAGTAGCACCACCAGCTCTGGCAGCTCCAGTGCCTCCAGGACGAGCACCTTCGAGACCAGTAGCTCCAGCACCTCTAGCAGCAGCAGCAGCACCACCAGCTCCAGCAGCTCCAATTCCTCCAGTTCGAGGACCTCCGGGACTAGCAGCTCCAGCACCACGAGCAGGAGCACCACCACCAGCTCCAGCAGCTCCACTACCTCCAGCACCTCTAGCACTAGCAGCACCACCAGCTCCGGCAGCTCCAGCGCCACCAGCACGCGCACCCCTGGGACCAGCAGTGCCTGCACCAGCAGCACCTCCAGCACTAGCAGCTCCAGGGCCTCCAGGTCCAGCAGCGCCACTCCAAAGGCTACACTGTCGAGCGTACCACTCGCGCAACTGCTGTGGTGAGAAAGGCTCCTGCCGGCTAGACCGCTGGGGCGAGGCACCAGTGGGACCTCCAGGACTAGTAACTCCAGCACCTCCAGTACCTCCAATACCAGCAGTACCTCCAGCACCTCCAGGACAAGCAGCTCCAGGGCCTCCAGCTCCAGCATCGCCACTCCAAAGACTACAGAATCGAGCGTACCATTTGCGCAACTGCTGTGGTAAGAATGGCTCCCGTAGTGTAGATGCAGGATCCCCAGGGTCGGCACCCCCAAACTCAGCACCCCCAGGCTTCGCACGTTCAGACGCAGCACTCCCGGGCTCTGCATTCGCAGGCTCAGCACCTCCAGGTTCCTCACGCTCAGGCTCCGCAACCGCAGGCTCAGCACTCCCAGGCTCCTCGCGCACAGGCTCAGCACCCCCAGGCTCCGCACGCTCAGGCTCAGCACCCACATGCTCAGCAACCCCAGCAGCACCAGAGTCACCAGTGACCTCGACACGCTCAACCAAGGGGAGTGGGTCTACCTGAGACACACCTGAAGGCTTAAGACCTTGAGGGGGGAGGGGATCTACCGGAGGGGGAGTGGCGGGGGAGGGGGAGGGGCAGTGCGGTAGGGGAAGAGACGGTAAAAGAGAACCGACTCGTCAAACGTGACGTCCTGAGAGGGTAGGACACCAGGGTTGGTAAAAGGAAGACTCGAAGTGGGGTGGTAAAACTGCCAACCAGGCGCGTCAATGGGAAAGCCAAAGAAGACGCAGGGAACGGCGCACGAGGAGAGCTTGTCCGCGGAGGTATCGCGAACAAAGGCACGTCAGCCCCAGACCCGGAACACCGACGCATCGCCAACCTCTCCTGTCCAACGGAATGTAGGCGAGGTCTCCGGCAAGGAGACACGGGGCCAGAGGTTGAGCTGATGCGCAGCGTACCGGACCGCAAACGGCCACAGAACATGGGGAGCAGCCCCATGGATCATGGAGGTACGAGCGACCTCCATGACTAAGCCAATGCAGCGCTCAGCAAACCCATTCCGCTGCGGAGAGTTCGGAAGCGTGAACGACGGGAGGATGCCCTCCCCACGACAAAAGTCCCTCAAGAGGTCGTAGGAGAACTCACCACCTCTGTTTGAGTGCAGACGCAGGACCGGAAGGTCCGTGTCGAACCGCTCGCGGAGCTGGAGACGAATAGCGCGGATCCAAGGGATCAAAACATCAAGGAGATCCCCCTTGCTGCGCAAGGGGAAGACCGTGGTGTAACGCGAGTAGTCGTCAACAACCAGCAGAAAGTATCGCTCGCGGACCTGTCCCTGGACGCGGGCTGGGCCCCACACGTCCATGTGGAGAGTCTGCAGGGGAGAAGTCGTCGGGGAAACGAGGAGGAATGAGGAGCGGCGCGCTGCCGCCCCTCGACACAGAGAAGGCAGAGAGAGGGTGGGAGGGGAGGCAGAGACCTAGGAAGATCAGAGACAAGAAGGCGAGAGTGCATGCCACGGAAGCGTGGCCAAGGCGGTGGTGCCAAATGAGAGTCTGGTGCGATAGAGCGTGACACGAGCAGGAGGCTGCTAGCTGACCTGACGCGGACGCAGATGCAGCTACCTAAAGAGGCTCAGTAGTCAGTGTGTATAGGCTCGACCTAGGCCGACGGGTGAGCGTGGCCAGGTGACGGCCCGTCCGTGCACACGTGCAGATTGCAACACATTGTCCCCCAGGAGTAAAGGTATTAACCCATTCATCCTTAAGGACGGCGTTGCTCACCAAGTTTGTAGAGAACGAGGGGAGGTGAAGACCTGATAGTGAGCCAGACGGAACTGCTGGACATGGGAGAACAGTGGCGGAACGTGCAAGAACCGGTCCCCCTAAGGGATCAGCCAGAGAGACTGCAATCGGTGCTGCGAGTGGTGTGACTGTGGTGCTGTGGGGAAAGAAGCAACGGGAAGCACCTAAGTCAAGCGTGAAGGTGTGCAAGGCCTCAGCAGGTGCAGTACCAGAGAGAGCAGAATCACCAGCACCTAGAGCAGACTCACCCGATCCTAAAGCAGCAGCCGGTATACAAGGTCAGGCGGCATAGACAGGTAACAATCACCCTGAGTACTAATAGACAAAGCATACACTGAAGTGAGGATAATGTCATAGTCTAGAGCAAAGATATCCACCTTGTTCCTAAGCAGCTGTAGCCAGTGGGGGAGCTCAGCCTCGTCGCCAAACACTGCACGCCAGGCGTCGCTCAGACACGCGAAGCAACGAGCCTGTGTATGACCAAGTGTCCCGCAAATCTGACCAGCCCGATCACCTGTGCGGGCAGAACAGGCGGGCAGAACTCCAAGTCCCCCCACTCTGAGCGTACCACTCACGAAGCTGCTAGGGCGTAAGGGTCTTGCACGGACGCCGCAGGAGCTGCATCTGGCCACCGCCAGAAACTCCACACCAAACAGCTCCACCGCGTCTGCCACGACGGCCACCGCCGCCACTCCAACTGCTGTCACCACCGCCGTCACCGCTCCGACCGCTACCACGAAGAGAAGTCTTGGCGGGCCAAGTAAGGAGGCGTGCGACCAGTAGGGCAGTACGGAGGGAAGGTAGTAGCATGAGCAGCAGCAGCAGCAGCAGTAAGCGCAGCAGAGTGGCTCGGTGAGGCTAGGCTGCAGCACCTCCAGCACTCCTAGCAGCACCTCCACCAGCAGTAGCAGTAGCACGTGCAGCAGGGTGGATCGGGTTGGGCAGGGCGTCGCGACTCGGCCTGGGCGGCGCGGGCAGCAGGGCGCGTGATGTGCAGGGCAGTAGGGCGCGACGCGCGCGCTGCAGCAGGGCACGACGCGTGGGCAGCATGGCGCGGCGTGCAGGCTGCAGCAGGGCGCAACGCGCGGGGCAGCAGGGCGCGACGCGCAGGCTGCAGCAAGGCGCGACGCGCGGGGCAGAAGGGCGCAACGCGCGGGCTGCAGCAAGGCGCGACGCGCGGGCTGCAGCAGGGCGCAACCCGCGGGCTGCAGTAGGGCGCGACGCGCGGGCTGCAACAGGGTGCGACACACGGGCTGCAGCAGTGCGCGACGCGTGGGGCAGCAGGGCGCGACACGCGGGCGGCAACAGGGCGCGACGTGCGGGGCAGCAGGGCGCGACACGCAGGGCAGCAGAGCGCGGCGCGTGGGCTGCCGTAGGGCACGACGGGCAGGGCAGCAGGGCGCGATGCGCGGGGTGCAGCAGAGCGCGACGCGCGGGGCAGCCGTAGGGCGCGACGCACAAGGCAGCAGGGCGCGACGCGCAAGGCAGAAGGGGGCGACGTGTGGGCTACAGTAGGGCGCGAATCATAGGGCAGTAGGGCGCAAGCTGCAGCAGGATGCGGGGCAGGGCAGAGCGTGCGTGGGGCAGCGCGACACGGGGAAGGGCAGGGCGTGCGCGGGGCAGCGCGATGCGGGGCAGAGCAGGGCGTACGCGGGGCAGCGCGACGCGGGGTAGAGCACGGCGTACGCGGGGGAGTGCGACGCAAGTCAGGGCAGGGCAGGGCACGCGCTGACGGCGCAGCGCAGGGCAGGGCGTGGGGTAATGCGGCAACCACAGTCGGTCACTAGGTAATGGTGGGCCAAAAAAAAAAAAAAAACGGTCTTATGGACCCACTGCTCTGAAACCATGTCAAAAACTAATGAGCAGGAGTGATGGCATTGACATCAAACTGAGTACAAGTATTACCCTAATTGGGTTGTACCCCATTTAGGCTACCCCACTACAACCTACACAACATAAGTAGCATTATAGTGTGACAGCCACGCCTCCGCGATCCACTGCAGCACCACGGGGTGCGGAGGCCTCCGCAGGTTCCGTGCGGGTGGGACAGAGGCAAGGGTAGCGACCTGTTAGAGACATGGAAAGAAAACAGAGCATAAGTTTAATTCAAATGGCTACTCACCCTTCTTCGTCTTCAGGTGCACACGAACCACCTGGCATAGCGCGCTCGCACACCAGCCTTGAAGCATCGGTTGATGCTGACGTCAAGGGGTTGAATATGGCTCGTGCAACCCGCTGGGATCACTGCAGGGGTGATGCTGTGCGTGCGGTAAGATTGTAGCATAGTCTGGGTGATGTGGCCGTGGTAGAAGCCCAACACCAGCATTGCACGCCTCGCGTTCTGGCCGCGCTGGGGGTTCAGATGGGGCAGCACCTCCTTGGTCAGCCAGGTCTGCACATCGCTCTCATCCATCCACCCGTTATCCTGTGCTTGGCATACGATTCTTGCCGGGCACATAGGGGATAGACGGGCGTCAGTCAAGGAAGGCAAGCTCACCAGGCTTACGGTCCCGGATTTTTTGAGTTTACCTTCCGGAATCTCATAGTTGGGCACGTTCTTCAGCTTGAACCAAACCCAAGGGTGCAGCTTCTCCCCGGATGAGGTGCATGCGAGCATCACCGTGAGCCGCGTCTTCTTGTATCCTGCAGTGCGGACTGGGACCGAGCGCGGTCCATGGTGCTCAATCGTCCTCTCGGCCGGCATCTCAACGAAGAGAGGGGTCTGGTCCGCGTTGATGATGTGGGCCAGGTCGATGTTGTGCCGCACCCTGTTGATGTGCATGAACTTCCAGAACGACTCGCAGTCCTTAGCGCACTCTGCAAAAGGAACACATGCCATGGCATGAGGGGATGGTTAGAAACAAAGGGCAAGGAACATGTAGTCAAGCATCGAGCGCGAATTCAAAGCATTTAACACTCACCAGCCGATAACCGTTGGCCGACCTTGGTCTTCACCCGCAGGACTAGGTTCCAGCGGTCACGGAAACGCTGGCACAAGTGAGAGCTTGCGTTCTAGTTCTTGCCGAGGTGGTGTTTCTTCATCCACTTGCGGCTCCACTTTTGGGTGTCCTTCACCGAGATGGCCACCCCATTAGCGCGCTGCAGACAGACGTAGCGGTACAATGCCGCCTCCATGTCGGGGTAGTGTGCGTGGCGCCCCCCCCCCCGTGCATCCGCTTGCGGCAGTTCGCCGCTCCTTCGTAGACGCCCGCGGCAGCCTCCGCACTCCAGCGTCTGATGCAGGCGATAGATGCGGTAGATTCCAAGGAAGTCTTCTTCAAGGAGCCGAGCTCCTGGTAGTGGCGCGCCTTCTTGAGCTTCTCGCGTATGGTCTGTCTACGGCACCTTTTCTTACTGTCCTTGCTATGAGGGGAAGGTGGATGGGAGTTGGGATTATGGAGGGTGGCGTCTTTCGGCTGCGCCTTCTCAGGGAACGAAGGAATCGGGCCTGCCGCCTCCGCGTAGTCATCGTTGCTGCCGAGCGCCCCATTGACCATGATGTCGTCCTTGTTTGGCCCCTTCTTCTTTTTCTTAGTAGCACCCGTGCTGGATACGGGGTCGCCGTCGTTCTTCCGCTTCTTGGTGCTTGGGTGGCGATGAACCGTGGCCTTAGCAGGGGCTTCCGCGACCTTGGTTTTCCCCTTGTCTGCAACAGAGATGCGCGGTTGAAGCTCCTCCCCAGGACTGTCGTCATCAGAGAGCACCACGCGGGCACGCTTCGGCTTGGACTGTAGGCGATGACACAGCCTCCGCTTCAGAAGCGGAACATTGTTGTCATCTGTGATGCTCCACGGGTCGTCATCGGCACCTCCCTCCGCAGCATCCGCATCCGCAATTGCGACCACATTCGCGGGCGCAACAGCATTGGCATCCGCTTCCGCCTCTGCCTCGTCGTCAGCCTCCGCATCCGCCTCCACCGTCGTCGTCCTCGCTTCCGCATCCACCTCACCGTCAGCCTCCGCAACGCCATCGCCCGTTGCTCCCGTTGCATGCGCAGCTGCCTCCGCGTGCTCGCCATCAGCATCGGCACCCTCGTCGTTGTTTGAATCACCAGCCTGCCACTCTTCCACTTCGTCGTCGCTCCCAACCGGCCGATTCCACCATTTGTCCTCGTCAATGTTGGCAGGGGCTACTTCATCCCCCCGAAGTGCTGTCGTCGTGGCCGTTCTCTGGCCAATCCTCGTCGCCGTCGTCGCTGTGTTCCTCGTCGCTGTTGTCGCCGTGTCCTTCGTCGCCATCATCCCCGTCACAGCTCGCATGGGAGGTGGCGGTTGATCTTCCCATCTTGCGCGTATTCTTCGCCATGGCTACACGGATGTCATCACCGGGCGAGTTAATTCGCCCGTAGTTATTCATCTGCACGTGAGGGCGAGGTGAGGACGTGCCTGCGGGGACTTTGCTGCGCATGGTTACGGTAAGCCTGCCGAGAATAAAGGTTGAGTTGAAATCTCAACCTCTTTGAGCACCAAATGAAGCTCAAGCTTGACTACCCCCCCTTCCAGCCACAGTGCCCCTTCCAAAGGTGCCGAGCCGCTCTTCTACGAGGAATCTCCTCGTAGAGGACATCCTTCACGCTGCCATTGTGTTGCCAGCAGCGTTCTGGAAGGATCCAAGCCCTGCTGACAACAAAACGACGCCAGCAGCATCATTAGATGCTGCTAGCACGGAGAGATGTTGCCAGCAGTGGCACCTTTGCTGCATCCCTCACGTGGGAAGTGGGGGCGCTGCATGCATCACCACCGAGGTCGCCCTAATTCAAAGGTATAATGGTACATAGGTGGTTTCTACACACTTAGCAAATGTTACAGAGTTTTTTTTTTTTTTTTTTTTACCCGACTTATAAGACACCCTAAACCATCCCAAATACAAGATAACCCAAGCATTTTGAGTAGTGTACGAGATTCACGATTCCGGGCTCACCGCAGCAAAATGGGGTTGCTGAGCATTGGCTTGGTCATGGAGATCGCTCGTACCTCCTTGATCCATGTGGCGGCTCCCCATTTTCTGTGGCTGTTTGCGGTCCGGTACGCCGCGCAGCAGCTCAAACTCTGGCCCCGTGTCTCCTTGCCAGAGACCTCGCCCACACTGCGTTGGACGGGGGAGGTTGGCGATGCGTCGGTGTTCCGAGTCTGGAGTGCTCGTTCCCTTGTCCGCGATACGTTCGCGGACAAGCTCTCCTCCTGCACCATTCCCTGTGTCTTCCTTGGCTTCCCCCCTGACGCGCCTGGCTAGCAGTTTTACCACCCCACCTCGCGCAGTGTTCTGTCCTCTCAGGATGTCACCTTTGACGAGTTGGTTCCTTTCTACCGTCTCTTCCCCTACCGCACTGCCCCTCTCCCTCCCCCGCCGCTTTTCCTTGCTCCCGGTCCCCCTCCGGTAGACCCCCTCCCCCCTCAGGGTCTTGCTCCTTCAGGTGTGTCTCAGGTAGACCCACTCCCCTTGGCTGAGCCTGTAGAGGTCACTAGCGACTCAGGTGCCGCTGCGGGTGGTGCTGCTCGGGGTGCTGCGTCTGGGGGTGCTGAGCCTGTGCGTGAGGTGCTGGGGGGTGCGGAGCTTGGGGGTGTTGAGCCTGCGAGTGCGGAGCTTGGGGTTGCTGAGCCTGCAAGTGCGGAGCATGGGGGTGCTGAGCCGGAGGGAGCCAGGTCTGGGGGTGCTGAGCCTGCTGGCATTTCTCTTGGCCTTTTTTCACGACGGGGGCCTCTCTCACCACAGCACCCACGAGAGTGGCTTGCGTGGCGTGCCCGCCTGAGGAGTCGTGCTGCTAGAGCTGGTGGTCCTGCTGTTGGAGGTACTGTTGCTCGAGGTGCTGCGGTCAGAGCTGCTCGTCGTGGAGGCGCTGAGAGTGCTAGTGTTTCTGGTTCTGAAGGTGCTCGTACTAGAGCTGCCAGGACTGGTGGTGCTGCTGGAGTTGGAGGTGCCGGTTCTGGGGGTGCTGCTGCTGGAGGCACTGGAGCTAGAGGCCCTGGAGTTGGTACTGTCGACCCTGGAGTTGGAGACCCTCGAGCTGGAGGTGCCAGTTCTGGAGGCACTGGAGCTGGAGGCGCTGGCGCTGGAGGCGTCCAGGCTGGCGGCCTTGGAGCTGGAGCTGCTGGTCCTGGAGGTGCTAGTACTGGAGGTAGTGGTGCTGCCGGAGCTGGTGGTGCTGCTGGTGCTAGAGGTGCTGGTGGTACTCGCAGTGCTGGTCCAGGAGGTGCTCGTCCTAGAAGGTGTTGGAGCTGCCAGAGCTGGTGGCGCTGCAGGCTTTGGAGCTGGAGACGCAGGCGCTGGAGGTGCTAGAGCTAGACGCGCTTGAGCTAGAGGCGCTGGAGCTGGAGATTCTGGAGCTGCTAGAGGCGCTCGAGCTGCTCGTGCTCGAACTGGAGGTGCTGGTGTCAGAACATATAGCTTGTGCTTATTGTGTAGGCTATAGTGGGGTAGCCTATAAGGGGTACAACCCAATTAGGTTAGTACTTGTACTCAGTTCATTCATAGTTCATTCATTCTCATTTCAGTTTTCTCATGGTATCGAGCAGGTTCCCTAGTGGGAACTGTGCCTAGGGCCCACCAAGTCGAAACTTTTTTTTTTCTGCCCGGAGCGCGCTCAGCCCGAGTCGCGCTCCTCTCTCTCATCTCGTCGAGCCGCCCTAGCGACTGCGTTGCGCCGCCCTAGCGGCCCCGTCGCCCTAGCGGCCTTGTCACCCTGGCGGCCCCATCGCCCTAGCGGCCCCGTCGCCTAGCCCTACGGCCCCGTCGCCTAGCCCTACGGCCCAGGCCCCGCCCTGTCCCGGCCCCGCCGCCCTTCGCTGCGGCCCCCCCGCCGCCCTTCCCTGCGGCCCCGCTGCCCTTCACTGCGGCCCCGTTGCCCTTCACTGCGGCCCCGCCGCCCTTCACTGCGGCCCCGCCGTCCTTCGCTGCGGCCCCGCCGCCCTTTGCTGCGGCCCCGCCGCCCTTCGCGGCGGCCCCGCCGCCCTTCTCTGCGGCCCCGCCGCCCTTCTCTGCGGCCCCGCCGCCTCTCTCGCTGCGACCCCGCCGCCTACCTTGCGGCCCCGCCGCCCTTCACTGCGGCCCCGCCGCCCCTCTCGCTGCGGCCCCGCCGCCCCTCGCTTCGGCCCCGCTGCCCCTCCCGCTGCGGCCCCGCAACCTACCTCGCGGCCCCGCTGCCCTCCCAGCGGCCCTGCCGCCCTACCAGCGGCCTTGCCGCCCTACGTCACCGAGCCGCCCGTTCCGCCCGAGCCGCCCAAGCCGCCCGAGCCACACGAGACGCCCGAGCCGCCCGAGCCGCCTGAGCCACTGAGGAGCCCAGCCGCTGGTGCCGCAGAGCTGCAGTTGCTACTGAGCCGTTCGAGTCGCCCGAGCCGCCGTGTTGCCGAGCTGCTGTGCTGCTGAGCTGCCCGAACCGCCCTGTCTGGTGAGAGCATCGCTTTTGTTACTGCACTGCCCCTCTCCTACAGCTAGTGCTGCTTGTCTACTGCTGTCAGGGCTACCCCTAGTGTTCTCGCTTTTGACGCTGAGGGTCGGGCCATTGACTTTGAGGTCTGGGTAGATGACCTGCAGCTTTTCCTACAGTGCGATAGGGCAGACGGTCTCTCCCTCTTTGACCTCACCTCTGGCGCCTCCCCTGCCCCTGCTGCTAACGCTAACACCACTGTTCGCTCCCAGTGGGCCACGCGCGATGCTGCTGCACGTCTTGCTGTGCGTCGCCACCTGCCTACCTCCGAGCGCGCGCACATTAGTCAGTACAAGAGTGCTCAGACCTTGTACGACGCTGTAGTTGCGCGCTAATCCTCCCCTGCCACTGCTGCAATGAGCCGTCTCATGCTACCGTACCTCTTCCCTGACCTTACTGCCTTTCCCACAGTCACTTACCTCATTACGCACCTCCGCACTAGTGACACTCGCTACCGCGCTGCGCTTCCTGCTGACTTCTGCGCCAAGTACCCCCCCCCCCCCATGTACATCACTCTCTACTACATAGTCACTCGACTCCCTGACTCCCTTCGCGTGGTCAGGGACCACTTCCTGTCAGTCTTTCCCACCACTCTCACTGTTGACCTCCTCGAGAAGTCCCTCCTAGCAACCGAGAAGAGCATAGTCGCTGTAGGGGCCTCTCGTGGTGACCCGCGCACCCCCATCTTTGAGGGGTGTTCCCCCTCCCCCCTACTGTTCCTGTTGCCTTTGCTGCTGCGGCCGACCTCCTTGGTCTAGAGTCGGTCGGTGCGGCGTCTGCCCCTAGCGGGAGACGCCGCTCTGGCAAGGGCAAGGGGGGCAGGGGCACTGGAGGGGCGAGCGGGGGCGGTGGAGGTGGAGGTGGAGGCGGCGGGGGGAGTGGGGGTGGCGGTGGGAGTGGTGGTGGGGGTGGAGGTATCGGTGGCGGCAGTGGAGGCGGAGGCGGCGGCGGCCGTGGCGGTGGGAGCGGAGGTGGCGGAGGTGGCGGCGGTGGAGGAGGCGGAGGAGGCGGCGGTAGTAGCGGAGGCGGCGGAGGCGGCGGAGGCGGCAGGGGTGGTGGTGGAGCTGGTCGCGGGTCTACACAGAGGAGTGGCTCCGGTGGTGGTCCGCGCCAGCAGCAGCAGCGCGGTCGTGAGACCCTGTCCCCTTAGCAGCTCTGTGAGTGGTACACTACACGCCAGCGGGGTGGGGGTTTTGGTCTGTGCACCTACGTCCTGCGCACCGGCGACCGTGCGGGTGAGCAGTGTGGGTGTGCACACCTCACCCAGCGCTGCTTTGGCCGCCTGACGGACGCGTGGCGTCACCAGTTCCCGGAGGCCTCCGAGATCCCTCGCTGGGGCGAGCTGTCTAGGGCGGGTGTGGCCATCTTTGATCTTGACTTTGATGCTATTCTTTCTGCCATGTATGCTGTGTCTATTAGTGATGAGGGTGACTGTTACCGGTGTTTCCCGCCCAATCCGGGCATTGGGACTGCTACTCTAGGTACTGGTACAGCTGCTGCCCTAGGTGCGTGCGACGCTGCTGCTCTAGGTGCTAGTGCGTCTGCCTCCTTAGGTACTGGTGAGTCTGCGCTCTCAGGTACTACGTCGTCTTCGGCCTCCCTCACCTTCACCCTTGACTCTGGGGCTTCTCGCTCCTTCTTTCGGGACCGCACCACACTCACGCCGCTTAGTCGGCCGGTTGCGGTGTCTCTGGCTGACCCCTCTGGGGGTCCTGTCCTGTCTCACTACTCTACGGTCCTCCCGTGTCCGGCGGCTCCCTCTGGCACCCTGTCTGGTCTCTACCTCCTCTCGTTCTCTACGAACCTGGTGAG